CCAAATTGTTCTTATATGGATTGCATTACCGTGTTTTCTCTGTATCAGAACAGACTGATGAGCTGCCAGACTATTCACTGAAAAGAATACAGCAGGCTGCCGCTTGCTATCAGCTGATGGCGATACAGACTTGTCCTTTGATCCAAGTTTAGGGCCCGTTTCCTAAATCTGATAGGATACAATTGAGAGTGCTTGATGTCATACTCGTGGATTGCTCCCGCTCAGTCTGCCTCCCCGGGAGGAGATGAATTACTTAACAGTCCAGCGGGGAGATGTTCAGAGCTCTACTTAAATGAATAAATAAGCGAGTCCTGCTTGGTCTTCTAGAATTGAGAGTACCCATAATCCAGCCAATAATCTTCAAATCAGATTAAGCTCTATGACCACTGATCTGCCTTGAAATGAAATGGGCTGGAAAACACTGGCCAATAAGTATTTGGCTGCTCATAAATACTGTGTGCCAATGCATGAATGTGCATGTGTGTGTGTTGAAGATTCAAGACCTGAGTTAAGAGTTGGGATTCACCAATCCGACTTATTCAGGCCCGGTACAGATACCGATACCTGGGCTCTGTGTATTGGCTGATACCGAGTACTGATCCTGTACCAGTGTTTGATCAATGTATGTCTCATGGACCAAAATCCAATATCAGTATCGCTATAGGAGCCTCTCTTGTTAAGAATTAAGTTTCTTTGACTCTCTTTTTTCCAAATATTCATCCATCTAGTAAAAAACAGCAAGAAACGAAACGCTGGAATTGTCTTAATAAATCATTCGATGTATTACACGTCCCCAAGATATTGAATGTTAAGCTTTTTTTCATGAAAAATTATCAAAATAGTTTAGTCAATTGTCTAGTTATTTCAGCCCTTCTCTGAAGTGATGCTGCCACAGCCATATACACATTTAAAACAAGAGGTGAGGCACAGTTGTAATGTTGTAGGAGCTATCTATTTGATTTTAGTATTTAGTTATTTGATTCATAAGTAGTATTGTTTAATTATTTGCATTTTTAGGTTAGATTTGTTGATGTATTAAGATAGCTGGTTCTTTTGATAATCACCGGGGTGGACCAATGGTATTTTAGAGCAGGAGAGGCAGTGATAGGAGTTCCTTTGTTCATACGTATGGACAATGCCTTCTTTTCCCTGCATAAACCACAAACCCATGGTGCATCAATGGGCCTTTGATTTATGTTTGCTTTTGATTCATCGGACAAATGGCCACTACAAATGCGTTATGAATTATTTCTTAACATCAAAGGACTGAGGAAATCAAATAGAAGCAGAGTAAGAATTCTGTCCCAATCTGCCTGGTGTTTGAGGACCTTAAGTTTTGTAAGAAGTGAGATCAGGACAGGAGTTTGCAGCTGTATGTAGAACCCTTCAGGGCCAAGGAGTGCCTCACCTACTGTACAAACCAAATCTGAAATTTGAAAGATAACAGGTATGAATTTTCTGAATAATATTGTCTTTTCTTTTGATCTTGGTAATAAATAGTCTAAATAAGTATTCTTTTGTACAAAGTAAAAACATGTGTTTTTGCATGAAGCTATATGTGGTAGCAGTACAAGTGAACACACACACACCCCACACACACACACACACACACACACACACACACACACACACTGACAGTGAATCAGATGCTAGTGATGGCACCATTAGGCCAAACACCACCTGCCAGGTTAAAGGCTTCCGTCTGTCTAACACACCTGGTTGCTATCTAACACGCAGTTCCCTTTGGTGCCATCACTCTCTGTGTCCTCTCTGACCTTTTCCCTCTCACTTTCACATGTAACCCCATCTCTCTTTCTCTGTTCATCCCTTTCACTCTCTCTCTAGCTACCACTCTTCATTTCCCTTGCTCTTATGACATGTCCCCTTTTCTTTGGATCTTTTATCCTTCCATCCGTCTCAGTTTCATTCTGTCCCCTCCTCCCCCTCCTTTTTTCTTTTTTCCTTTTAATATTTGTTTAACATGATATAATATTTAGTTTGTACCTCTCTGCACAGTATGAATGACAGTGAAGAGATTGGGAGTACTACCAAGTGCAAACCACGGACACACATGCTGTATACAAATACCCATCAACTGTGACACACACTAAATCACAAGCTTACAAATACGTGCATACAAACACACATTTGCATGCTCACATACAGTGTAGGCTACACACTCGCAGGCCCAGAGCTGGTATGTGAGCATGCTGGTCCTCTAATCTGTGGCTTGGTTGGGGCTTCTTCCAAAGTCCATGGACCTAAAAAGTCCAAGTCTGCCTGGAACAGTAACACCCTACACTTAGCCACATGGCGCTAGCTAGCCCACACCCTGCTAAACACAGCCAGATGTGCAGGGACTGGCAGCATGGTACAATGTCACTGAACTCGCTTTCAGCTATAAAAAAAACTTAAAGAAGTTCTGCTCTGGACGTGGTTAGGAATCATCTAATCTTTACCTATTTTAAACCATAACAGCCTTACTTAATATTTGTACAAGATCCAACAACCAAACTACTTTTTTTTGTAAAACGCTGAAACGAAAGTACATCATCTTTCACTTTTCCACAGCTAAGGATAACAAGAGGATGTCTTTTGTAAGAATGGGTGGATCCTCACAAAATTTCGTCGATCATGTGGCAGCAAATGCAACGTGTTATGGTCCAATTAACCCCAGTCTATCGCTCAGCTCTTGCCTTCCGAGGACACAGTCAACAGCAGATGGTTTTAAGACCTCAAGGTCTCAGCACACATATATTTCTCTCCTCCCTCTGTCAGCTCTGCCATCCCCATCTGATGCTGACTGGGGTGAGATAAGGGGACACAAGAAACAGGGACTTTAGGCGGTAGATTTACCACCTCCCGGTTGTATGCCGCTGCCAACCAGTCAAGTAGCAGTTTACATCCATGTCTGTGCAGACTCTTATAATACTGTATATGCAGTGAAGACTTTGAAGAGATTCAATAAAAGGTATTAAGTGTAATTTTTATGGCGAAATGGAAGTTATGACTACATTGAGATGTATGATTCCAGCAAATAATTTCCAGTGACTGTTGTCTTTACTTGGAGACTTGGTGGCGTGCCGCCTGGCTGGTGGCATCAAGGCTTGGAGGCCAGCGACTCAAGGAGCTGTTAAGGAAGGCTAGCTAGGTGATCAGGTTGGAACTGGACAGCGTGGAGGCAGTGATGAAGGGGAGGATGAGGGGAAAAAAAGTCAAAATGTAGGTTTGTCCCTTTGCGGATGTTTGTGCAGAATTTGAAGAAATTCCCTTGAGGAGTTCCAAAGATGTCAGGTTCATTAGAATGGAAAGGACAGACGGGCAACACACAAAACATAAACTCTGAGCACACAGGCACAAAAAACAGCTACAAATGACTTAATTCTGAGGCAACGCAAGTTACCATGATGGTGCTGTGTGTCTCTGCGTATTGAACTACGAGTTTTTGGATTTACATCATGAGAATGTTTAGAGTTTGGAGCTGAGTGCTGCCTGAAAGTGTGTCTGTAGTCTGTGTTGTTTACAGGCATGCTGTGCTAAATGAGGTGTTTTCCTGAAAAATTCAGAAAGCTCAAGAATTGTAGGATGACATAAACTAACTTGGAGATAATGTGTATAGGTTTGTGTGTGTGTGTGTGTGTGTCTGTGTGTTTATGCTTGTACTTGGCAGGGTGACTGTATCCCTTTGGCACAGCCAACCGCCTCCTGAGTGATAGGGCGGGACTATGAGAAAGCAAGACAGCGATAGAAGAAGAGTAAAGAAATGTCACTCTGCCACTAATCACTGTAATCTGAAAAGGTCAGGCTAACTAGCCAAACTCAGAGCCCCGGCTGACAGATCCATTGTCACCGACTGGCCGAGGGGAACAAGCGGAGCACAGAGACACCCTTCTATTAACTGGAGCAGGTCATTAGACACAAATAATTGCCTTGGTGCACCAATGTGCTGATTGAAAATCCCTCTCTCCTCTCTCTCCTTCTTTGTCTCTCTCATTTTTCTTCACCCACACTCGGCGGAGCACTGCAAATAAGTCTTGCAATGCTTCAGTTCGTATTATTAAGAGCTAAAACAATACTTTGCTATGGTGCAGAGTATATTTAGTCATTCAGACTCTTGCTCTACATACATTATCACAACACTGGAAAATGTTAACATCATTTAAAATAGGAAGGTTCGCCTCTGGAGCTGTTGCCTGCGCTCCTCTCTCTCTCCTGCAGTAGTCGTATGTTAGATGAAATGAAAATATGAGTAATTTTTCTTGTTTCCACTTTGGATTTAATCCAATAAACAAACTATCAAAGCGTACGGGGACCGGAGCTCTGTAAAGCTGCACTCAATTGCTCTTCCTCAACGACCGGATGTGTGTCTCAGTAAACTGAATTTGAATTATGAGAACTGAATGTGGAAGTATGTAGAGTTGAGGGTCAAACAGTCACAGAGCAACTGAATTCATATTCATAATATTACATTTAGTTTCAAGTTCGTTGGAAACGAATTAATTCATTTTCAAATTATGTGATTCTATTTTGTTTTTATTTAATTAATCAAGTTTAGAAATTCAACTATATTTTAATTCAGTTTCTAGTGACACATATTTCTGCCCATAATAAAGCCTTATTTGAGGAATATATGTATCAAGTCCTCTCAAGTATCGACTTGGCATTCTGACAACGCTACTGCAAGGCATGACCAGCCTCTGCTGTTGAAACGTGACAGTAGATTAATGTTCTTAATCAATCAGTGGACTTTATGATACAACTTATCTCTTACACTTCTTGTCAGACTGTGTGTCGGTGTATGTCTGCACTTTTGTGTGGGCTGGGTATGTGAAATAAAAACAGCACAGCCGGAAAGACAACGGTACTGTTCTATCAACACTGACACAAAAAAAAAACCACACAAAAACTGTGTCCTTGTACAGTATATGTCAGAAAGCTTGACTCCCTCCCGTCTCATTCCCTCACTCAGCCATACACTTATCGTGATTAAACAAACTCACCATCGAAGGCCTTGTACTGTCCAGTGAGTGAGGTCTGTAAGGATCGGCCGGCGTCTTTGAGTAGTCCCTCCATCTCCCTGCAGCTCAGCGTGGCCAAGCTGTCCTCCATGCCACTGGTGCAGCAGGTGTAACCCTGGGGGCAGATGCGCAGGTGCTCCCCTAGAAGGAGGACAGGTGGATGCAGAGGAGGAGAAAGGATGGAGGGGGGGAAACAGGGACAAAAAAAACATGGCATTATAATTTATAGGTTCCATCAATTCAGTCAGCACTCAACAAAACTGAGATTGATAGTTCCTATGTTGCTGCTGTATAAAATACTCTGCGTTGAACATGAACATGAGAGGGAGAATTAGCAGCAGTGGCTGTTTTTATGGCCTTAAAAGCAGCCTGTTGGCAGTCGAGGAGGTGGCAGGGCTGAATGTGTCCGCCCGCCTGATTACCTGGCAAGATGTGGAGAACTCTGTGGAAATGGGAGCTCCGGAGCAGGAGTACAGCATCATCTCCCATGCAATTTTAATGAGCATTCCTGACACACATTCACGTGCATGCATTTGAAAACATGTGCATGCACAGACACACACGGACACACACAGATACAGAAACTCAGGGCGAGTGTAAAGGATCCGTGAGCTCGGGATGTGTGTGTGAGTATACACACACGCAAATGAATACCATATGAAAGAATTTAAACAAGGGCTGTCAAAGTTGGTTAAAACGGCAGTCAAGCTGCAGCTGAAATGAAAAAAAAAAGAAATTACGTAAAACGGAAACACCATTTTCCACATCAACGCAACTAACAACACACGTAATATGAATCCAATGGGAAACACAGAAGCACACAAGGTTTGTAAAAACAAGGCACTATGTAGAGCGGGGCACAACGAATCACATCGAGACGTGGTGGGAAAGAGGAAAGGATTCCGTTGGACTTCTAAATTCAATGGGACGCTTCTTTCTTGTCAATATGAAAATATTAATTAAAGCTTCTGATGCACACACAGAGACAAAAGAGTACGGACAAACATCAAAATGCCTGTAGCAAGTATGCCGATAGGATGGCAACCATGTTTTGGGCCTTTTTGCTCTCGTGCTGTTGTTCATATGAGGGAGTAAGTTTGAATAAATATTAAGGAGCATCTAATTGTTGTGTCACCCTAGGCCTTCCCCCACAGCCATAAAACACACACACGTTTTTTCTTTTGCTCCGGGACCAACTGTCCATCACACAGTTGATAAGAATTTTTTAAACCGCGGAGGGTTGATGCCGCTAACCCCTACCATCAGAATCATATTTGATCACAGGATGCCTGGCTTCAAAATAGGAGTGCTACATTTACAGGTGATAAGACAGTTTGTGTGACCGACTAGTCCATAGTCTGTATTACAGAAGCCAACATCTCCATTGTTATTTGATATCAGCGTGCCACTGGTTGCACTTTGCGTTAATCAGTGTTTATAGATAGAGTGCAGGTTGTAGTGTTTCCATCCGGATTGTATTACTCCCTCCATGGAAGAAACACCTAACTGAATCTCACCGAGTCCACCCTCCCACCCAAAGGCCCTGCAGAGACCAGCATTCTAACTGCCTCTCTGTTGGTTCACTCAAACATACGCACGCATACAGACCCTAAACGTAGCCATCATGTCTGGTTTGTCTAATCTTGTGAATAATTAGGGAATATGGCCACTTACTGCATTTTGATCAGTATCTAACTTGGAATTATTTTTGGATTGTTCTATCTTCTGCTTTTCAGTGTCACAGCCATGACACATCTTTATATGGAAGTTTCCAGGCCATTGTCATATACGTTTAAACAGCACAATAATATTAACAACACAGTGACTCAACCTATATCTTTGCTGCAACATTTTAAACCTTTTAAGTTTTGACTTTAATTCATTTAATTTAAATTGACATACATGTCTGCAACATACTAAACACACAATGCTTTCTCATGTACATCAAATGTACAGTAAAGCATCCCGAGAACTGTGGCCCTGTTCTCTCCTGTATTAATAGAATGAATAGGCTTAGGTATAAGCCTCAATTTAATCATCAAAGCTTTGCAGTTTACACATTCTAATATTGTGACTGGGAAGTCTCGACATGTTTACTGTATGTCTGCATCATCGGTCCAAAACTGTGCTTTACATAGCCTGCACAAAGGCATATACAATTGCAGTGGACACGCATACGTACAGGATTAATGATTTAATGTCCATCATGCTGTTATTAGCATGCACCTGGTAAAGGTTCCGCTGAGGGGTAAGTCTGAAGGCACAGTGCCGCCATCAATAACATTGATCCCCATCCCTTTCATCGTTAATGGCGTGCGTGGGCTCAACGATTACGAGCATGCATTTCAGCTTCATTCACTGTAGTTGTGGGCTGAGATAATCACTGCTGCGTACTAGCCCCATTTGCGATCTCAGCTGTACTTTACAGTCAATGACGGTGTCCACGTACTTCACTGATCATATGCCAACAAAGTTTCCGCAACTTTCCTTTAAGTGCCTCATCTTGACCGAGAGAAGCAATTAAAGGTGATTTTCCTCTTTGAACACGAAAGTGGAGGACGGGGCTGCCTGGATCGGAGGAGAAGTTGACATTGAGCATCTCTCAGCACCCTCTCACTGGTCATGGTGTCACCCATCCACACGCCAAGGGAGAGAGAGAGAGAGAGAGAGAGTTTATGGACCTGGAGAAGGGCACTTGTGCGCAAGTGTGATTTGTGCGCGTCGGTGAGAGGACGAATACATTGAATGAGGGGGTGAGAGAGTGACGATGAGAGTACAAAGAAATGGAAAAAGGGAGGGAGGATAGGAAGAGTGAGAGAGAAGCTTGATGGAGGAATGGAATACAGCGCTATCAGGGGTCAGCAGATATCCGTCAGCCCCTGGGACAACCGTTTAAATGCCTGGGACTGGTTTTAGTGTCCATGTGTATTACGGGCCTGTGGCCATTTCTTCCGGTGCAATCTGCTCGCTGCCTGCCATTTGAAGGACATCTGTGCAAAGAACAATACACACTTAAAAGCACAATACGCTCACACACACACACACACACACACACACACACAAACATGGATAGTAGGAGGTGTGAGGCTTCCACATGCAGCCAGGCAGGAACAGCCTCTTCAGAGGGTCCATTTCATATATTAATACAAATGTAGTTGTTTTCTCTATACACTCACAACATCTGCTGATTGGAAACGCACATGTGCAATTTTAGACACACACGCAACGCAAGGTCTTGGCCACACATCTGCCGCACAGCAGAAAAGGTCACCTGTAAAAGAGCATTACGTTTCCAGTTGGCTAACCTAACAGTCGGCTAATGTTACAAACAGGGCAGTCTCCTCCATTTGACTCAGTAAACTGCAGCGTGTGTGTTTGTGTGTGTGTGTGTTGGTGTAAATCTGTGTGTGTCTCTATTTGGGTGAGAGCAACAGTAAGCCACTTTCGATCAAGTGTAGAGGAAATGTATCCTTAACAACCAGACATAGCTCTCGCTTTTACACTTACACACACACACACACGTTCAGTCTAATAGCCAGAGGATACTAGAGTAATCAGCAGAGGAGGACAGCTCAATCTGGAGAGGAGCTGTTTCAGTGGGAGGCTCCAACAGAGGCATCTAAAGGGCCATAACAGAGAGTGCCGCTAATGCTAATGCTTGAGACGTCCAATTTTCTGTGCGTACAATACCAGACATCCTATTTTCTGCTCTTAGAGATAGCTAAAGAAAACATGTTTTCATTACATACCACAAGACCACTTCCCGTACATTAGAGGTTAACTCTTGCCTTAACCAATTTCCAGCCTGCCCTCACCATTTCCTGTCTCTATTGTTCCTGAATTCTTCCTGCAGTCTGAATAAACTTCACGGATCGCATGATCAACTTGAAAAGTACGGTCATAATAATAGTACTGTTCATATCTCGCAAGAGACGGTGAATTGCAGAGTTTAAACTGCGCAGTTGGCGCACGGAGATGAAACAAAATCCACATGAACAAGATCTGCTCAAAATGAAATGATCTATTCAAAATTATTCAAATTGCCAGAGTAGGTGTTCTGCATTAATCAGTGCACTTTCTGGGAGGCCAATCAGCACAGAGGAAGCAAGCCAATTATCTGGCCTCTCCTAAAATTACACACATACATAAGCCACCCACCCACTCAACAATTAATGTATGCGTGGGGGCAAAATTAGGGAAACTATTCACGCATAACAGTTGCCCCCACCGTTTCTTTCCCTTTTCTTTTGACGGACACGGCTGCTTAATGGTGAGCAATTCCCTAACCATTAGCTTATCACTGTTCACCAGGGAGGAAGGCTCCTATTAAACAGTAATCTGGGAAGGCAGAATAGGGTCATGCACACTGTGATAAAGCATGGGAGAGACTGACAGTCAGCGGCTTTTAGAGACGGTGGGAAACGCAGAGAGAGGAGACGGCAACAGGAAATTAAGAATGACTCCAAGCCAAAGCGTCTCCGTCATTTGTCTGGGAGTCTGTGAACTAAACAGGAGAAGTCAAAATGCTGGCCTTCTTCAGTCATGTCGCCATCGCTGCGTCACTATTTAGTGTGAAGGTTTGTTTCTTTCTGGTCCAGGGGTAGTAAAAAACAAGATAAGAAAAAATAAACACCATCTCACGACACAATGCGCAGCCATTGTAGCCGTTTATTTTCTCCTTTCAGACAATTTCCCGCCTGTGACAAGTTTGGAAGCCACATTAGTTCCGTCAATTCAGAAAATGTTAAACTGTGCAGGTGTTATGCTGATTGAGCAGGGCAATTCAGACTTTGACTATTCAGTGTGTTCATGCCCCCATGTGTGCACAGCTTATTCAAAATCTCAGTTTCTTTGTCCTTCACGTTGATACGGTGGAAAATTGGAATATAGAATATTCTTTTTTTTTCCATTGCTGTCTACTGATGCTTTTTTTTTTGCCTTGAAGCACAGTGTGTATTTAATTCATTTTTAAGATGACAACAATTACCACAGTGGCACAACAGTTAACACTAGAGTTGAAAAACAAAAATGACCTTGTCTGTTTTGCATTGAGTTTTCACAATGCTAATGCAGGGAAACATGCTCACAGCTCAAGTAGACCGGAGACTCAGAGAAAATGTCCATTGGTCATAGGTGTGACT